AAAGCAATCATTTCGCAAATACAAGCAAAAAACTTTTAATCATTGAAATCGGATAATAACTGTCATTTTTTGCACATTTAGCTCCGTATCTCCAAAACGGCTGACCTGCCTTTGCCGAAAACTAATCACAACATCACCCCATCATTGCGAATTGAATGTTATTTGGTACATTCAAATCGGATACTAAGTTTCTCTTAAAAACTCGATATCAATTTTCTGTAACTTTGCTTTTTATCTCCGAAACGGCTGAGCCAACTTTTGCCAAAAACTAATCACCACATCTCTCTATTAATAAAAAATCGATTGTTTCTTAATCATTCAAATCAGTTGTTCCGTAGGCCCGAAATCGTCGACAAAAAATTGTATTCACACATACACACGCACATTCATTTTTCTGATTGTGAGGTATGCCAAAATGTTCAGAACCCTCTGAAACAAAAAGATTTGCTAAAATTTTCAATTTCGATTTTGGACGATTACAATAACTTACCCTACGAGAAGTTAATAACATACTAAAGCATAACTTGTTTTACTATAAAAATTTCAATGATTGAAGATTCAAGAAAAACTCAAAATAAACATAAGTGATTGTTCCTATTCATTATTAGTTCCTTTCCATTATATTTTAAATGATGTGCAGAAATACATCGAAACACATTCAAATTATATTTATAGATTTTGATAATAAAAGTCTTATTTTGCCAGCAGTAATATTAGGTACTGAATATGATGAAAAACGGAATACTTACAATATATTACAAGTATTTTGAACGTTACTCAATTTAGTAATTTCATATTTACAAAAAAAAAAACATTAGCAGAGTACTATTGTAATAAAAATAACTAGTTAATCTTTTGAATGATTCTGAAGAATTACATCAAAACATCTTGGAAAAAATTTGTTTCAAAAAAAAATGTTTTGTCACCCCTATATTGTTATATTATAATAATAATCGTCTAAATGATTATGTTGTGTTGTGTGTTGTGTTACATATAACATAATGAAATTATATTTATAGATTTTCATAATCAAAGTTTTATAATTAGTTTTGATCCGTAATATAAGTGTTACTATGAAGAGAAGAAAAATTGAATAAAACTCTTACTATACTTTACATGTAGGTTAATTTATTTTTAACATTAAACAAAACAATGAATCAATACCTAAAGAGAAGAGAAATTAGTGAGTAATCAAAATAAACCATAAATATGTTCTAATATGTTAAAGTTCAAGTCTTCATTTATTTATTTATACTACTGAAAATTTATACATCTTGCAAGTTCCAGACCACAAAAAATTTAGCAGGTGCATTTCTTGGCAAACCGTATTCAAGTTAATATTTTTATAGGGTGGAGTAAAACCAACATCATCACTTGTTTTATATTTTTATTCATTTCAAGTCCTACCTATATCGACTGTCGCATCATTCGAAATCGAATATTAGGAATTCGGTTCGATGCTTTCAGCTTGTCTCCGAAATTGGGTACAATATGCACATGTTGTGCGACCGGTCCGGAAGTCAATGACATATTTAGTGCAAAGTTCGAACTATTGATGGGTATTACAGAGCAGCATCGGAATATTGTGAATAAACAATATTATTACCGCATATTGGTTGTAATGTCACTCTTTGGAATAATCTGTCGATTGATAGATAACTAGATAAATTTTCCATGTGAAATATGCATATGAGCGATGTGGGTCTGTCTGCGAATTCAGATGTAACACCACTTATGTTAATATACATTAAGGCAAATTTCAAAAATCAAAAAATAAAATTCTCAAGATAGAGTCATTTTTTTAGAACTCTAAAAAAAAAGATGTTTAAGATTTTTGAAATTTCTGAAAAAAATTGACCTTTTTGAAAAATTTGTTTTTTTATACTTGGAAATATTTTGAACTTTTTTTCAAAGCAATCATTTTTTTCAAAGCAATACGTTAGCTGCGTAGAAAGAAAATATTGAAGCGCGTAAGCGCCGCGTCGCCGGAACAGATAATAATATTGCACAAACCCTATAGAGATGTAAAAAAAATTTATGCTTATTATTGAAATCTCTATAAAATATCTGATAATTTGATGGGATGTGCGCATGTCTAATCATTTTTGACAGTCAAATCACATTTTTTTATTTTTTTACTCAATCTCCGAAACCGCTAGACCTGCCTTCCCAAAAGTTTAATTATTTCTTCTATTTGTCAATATGTAAATTTTTTTGTAAAATTTGTAACTGTTTTTTGAATTATTGAAATGGGACGTTCCGTTCTCTCAAAAACCGAATTAATATTTTTGGCATTTTTTCCCCGTATCTTCGGAACGGCTGAACCTGCCTTTGCCTCAAACTAACCAGCACATCTCCTTATGAATAGGAATAGAATATTTTTTGAACCATTCAAATCGGTTGATCCGTGCGCACGAAAACGTGGACGAAATATTGCATCCATATATACATACACACACACACCCAGTTTTTAAAGATATGCCAAAACGTTCAGAAACCTTCAAAACGTGAAGATATGCAAAATTTAGATTTTTGGACGATTACTATAACTTACCCTATGGGAAGTTAATTATAGTAACTAAATTTTTTATCAATAATCAATATATAAAAGTAATAATCAAATAGCTTTTTGTTAAATTTCCAATTCAGCAGCAAAAGAATATAACCAGAACATATTATTGGTAGCATTTAGCAACTACAAAAAGTTCAACATTATGAACTGATGAAATAAATAAATAGGTCTCTGCATTAATATGCAAGATGACTACATAGTTATTTATTCCATTATTTATGCCAATGTAGTTGAACTGATTAATTATATATTTCGAATTGATTGATCACTGATCTGCAAAGTTCAGATAAAACTAAAATTTAATCACGATTTATTTACGCCTTTAATTTTAAAATTATTAACCTAACCGTTCGTCAACATTTTTTTCTTTCTGAAGTAGTGCACATCCCTTTTTTGATAATAAACAACAAAAAAAACATGATTATTTTTACAGGTTAAAACTAACATTTCTAAAAGCGTCTTATTTTCTAATGATAATATGCTGAAAAATCAGCCTAAGATTGGAAAATCGTTTCTGATAGCGTATTTTACTCTTATAACTATTATGCTGTGTAATTAAAATCGGACAAAAATTTTAAATTTCGTTTTTGAAATAGTCTAATTCTTTCACAACTTTGATGCTGTAAAATTAATAAGAGACTGATTTTTTAAAGTTCGATTCTGAAAGCGTCTAAATCTTTTATAATTATTTTGCACGCTGTATTAACATTAGACTACATATTAAATTATTATTAATGATGCAAGACTTTTGGCACTCTCTTCAAATATAATTATAGTAGTATAACCATAGAAAAATGTATAGCAACATATTAGTTTATTTTTTTGTGTACTACTATTTTCATCATCATTTTTTCAATATCTTGTTTCTATAGCTATTGAAGTACAAATAAAGAGCTTCCATATCTATAAGTGGGCGGGCAAGACCTATCTACAATTATATTTATATTTATTTATATTTACACATTATACAATTATAGATATTAATGGTACATAACTTAAATTAATACATAATAATACATTATTAAATGAAAATAATTTAGAAAAAACAAATGTTCACTCAAAAGTCAAAAGGTTTTGTCAAAGGCAGGTTCAGCCATTTCAAAGATACAAAGCTAAATGTACAAAATTTGCATCCGATATAAATGATTAAGAAAACTTACTGCTTGTATCAATTTGACAAAATAATTGCATTTGAAAAAACAAAATTATATTTCAAATTTTTGCAAGCAAATAGAAATCAAGATTTTGAGAGAACTCAGTATCCGATTTGAATGATCCAAAAAAACATTCAAATTGTAATGATTGGGACAAGAGGTGATTAGTTTTTGTCAAAGGCAGGTTCAGCCATTTCAAAGATATAATAATATAAGATCCTTAACAATTCATTTAATCATCAACTATTTTTTATTCGATCCATATTAAGAATCATTACTTGTTATAGAGATCAAAATACCAAAATTTTTGGAACTTAATTCAAAACCGTGTGTGATGGAAATTTGTTTCACAGAGGTGAAGCTTCGGCCTTGTAATCATAAGATTTGGAGTTCAAATGCCAGCACCCATAAAATTTATATTTTGCATTGGTTGAATAAGTTTGCTATTATTTCGTTTTTTTTTATTTTAAAAACATTGTATTGCAATTTACCCCGCCTATGGGGTAAAATGGATCAGGTTGCAAATTTTTGAAAAAATGGTAAAAAAAAAATATTTCTATGATGATAAATTAGGTGAGAGTTTTACGAATTATAGTCATAAAATTTGTCTGTTTGATATGTGTTACTTGTTGTGAATCAACTATGTTAACAACTAAAGTTAAATTGGACTTTTGTGCCCCGCCCTACGGCCCTACTATATGCAAAAATCATTTTTGTACAGACCATGGCACCAAAATAAGATATAAGAAGTATGTAAAATATATTTGTAAGTATGTAGTAAGTATATATGTAAGTAAGTAAGTATGTAGAACTACGATGACTTTAACATTGAAAATGTTATCACAATTTTCAAAAATGTAAAAAAAAAAATCAAAATATCTCAAAAAAAAATTTTTTTTCAAGTTTTGCAATAAAAATCATATTTTGAAATATTTACAAAAAATCAAAATTTTCAATAAAATTCAATATTCTCAAAAAATACCATTCTTTTCGAGTTTTTCAACAAATTCCTATTTTTGAAATGTTTACAAAATTTCAAAAATGTTAAAAAAAATTAAGATTTCCAAAAAATTTCTAAATCCCAAATAATTTAATTTTTAATTTAATGAAAAGTTTAGATATAGAATAATGTGAGAGATCAAATGCTAAAAATAAAGTACAATAAAAAAAATTATGTAATACTGAATGGTGATGTTCAACTACTGTAAGCAGTTTCAATGCAATTGCCAAACGAACATATCAATTGTCTCACCTATCACTATCACCCTCCATACCTGTCAATAACCAGAACGTGGTTGTCATCCGCTCCTAGTCCATGTTTGATCCTCGAATAAGCGTCGTCTTTGAGAACAGTGACTTCCTTTCCCGCGGCATAATTAAGCATCTGGTCCGGATCGGCATCAGCGTCAGCGTCAACGTCACCATATCCTCCGCCACTCGCAACCAGGTCCCCATATCCAGGTGACGACTCCTGGACGATGTTGGCGAATGATTCTGCCGAAGACTGGAACGGATACGAGCCGGAAGACTCGGCGCGACTGTTGACGATCATGAATTGGAGCGAACGGTAATCGGACGCGGACGCCGAGAGGTCGTTCAACAGTTTCCGCAACCTGCAATTGCAGAGAAAATTGGATCGGATTAGAAATCACTTCCATGCCAATTGACATCATTGAACATTATTAACTAAAGTTTGCGTCGTATATATTGCTTGCAGTTGAAGACACTTTAATTAAGAAATGTAATACTACTGGTCTTTAATAAAAAGCAATGGCAATAATTGTACTTTAAAACTAGGGATTTATAGTATCGTGCCATAAGGCAAATTGCTGGAACTTCACGTTTTGTAATTTAAATTTTTTAAAGCCTTAACATTTTTTGAAAGCTTTGTAAAAATCAGATTTTTCTGAGAAATTTGGAATCTTTGAATTTTGAATTCTTTATTAACTTCCCGTAGGGAAAGTTATTGTAATGGGCCGAAAATCGAAATTGAAAAATTTTTACATTTCTCGACGTTTTAAAGGTTTCTGAACATTTTGGCATACCTCAGAAAAAAAGGATGTGTGTGTATGTGTGTGAGAGTGTGTATGTATGTATGGATACAACTTTTCGTCCACGTTTTCGGGCGCACGGATCAACCGATTTGAATGGTTCAAAAAACATTCGCTTCCTATTGATAGGAAGATGTGCTGAATAGTTTTTTTCAAAGGCAGGTCCAGCCATTATGGAGATACGGAGCAAAGAGTGCAGAAAATACAAAATTTTGAGAGAACGGGGAATCCGATTTGAATGATCTAAAAAACATTCAATTTGTAATGATTGGGAGAATAGGTGATTAGTTTTTAACAAAGGCCGGTTCAGTCATTTCAAAGATACAGAGCTAAATGTACAAAATATGGCAGTTTTTGAGAGAACTAAGCGTCCGATTGAATGAATCAAAAAACTTTCTGCTTGTTTCAATAAAATAATTGCTTTTGGAAATTAAAATTTTTGTTCCAATTTTTTTTTTCAAAATTTTTTTTAAATTTTTTTTTTTGTATATTGAAGATAATTCAGATTTTAATTTTAATTCGGACTAAAGTTCTAATACACTTTAAATAAATAATTTCTACTTTGCAATTCAGTTTATATAATTCTTTAAATATTAGGCAATGTTACAGTATTTATAACAATCTATTTGAAAATATTTAATATTCCTCGAACATTTTGTTACGATACGGGAAGTTCCAGCAATTTGCCTTAAGGCACGATGCCATGCACCCCACTAGTTTTTTGAAAGCTTTGAAAAAAATCAGGTTTTTCTGAGAATTTTGAATTTTTTTGTTTTTTTTGTAACATAAATTTTTATTAAAATATGAAATATATTGAAAAACTTCGAAACATTTAGAATTTATTGAAATTTTGTTTTATTTACAACATTTTGAAAATTTTGTATAATTTACGAAATATGTTGTAAAACTTAAAAAAAATATTTTTTTTTGATAATTTTGAGTTTTTTTTTTTGAAAATTTTGACACTTTTTAAAAACGTAGATCTTTTTTAAAACGATCTTGAGCTAAGGTAACAATTTTAGAGACGGAATATCTGAAAACAAAAAGGCACGCCTTCCTATTAAGACGAACGAATGAATTTTTTTGAATCGGTTGATCCGTGCTCTTGAAATTGTGGACAAAAATTGCTTCCGAACATAAACACTCGCTCGCGCGCACACACACACACACACACACACAAATTCATTATTTTCTTCTTAAGTATGCCAAAATGTTCATTTAAAATGTTCGTTTTTCTATATCTCTAACAGATATAGAAAAAATTATATTAGATTTTTGTAATTACTAACTTACCCTATTAAATTATTTAAAAAAAAAAATAAAAGATATGAAGTTTTAGAACCCAACATTCAAATCATAAGTTAAATACCGTTAAAAATTATTGTGAATGACAAAAATATCTGACAAGAACAGAAGTATAGACAAAAAACATATAATGAAAATCCTGAGGTGCTAATGAACTTAAAACTTGGAAAACATTAATAAAGTTTCTCAATTCATAGTATTTATATTCAAGCATCCGAGAATTGAATTAAAAAAACTGAAATAGGTTTAAAACATTTTTAATAAATCAATATATGGTTGTTTATTTACTTTCAAAAGAAATTTGTATTTGCCAAAAAATCTAATTATGTGTTTTATCGATGGTTCAAGTCATTCTGAATCGTTAGACACCAAAATTTTAAAAAGTATGTTTGATTGTGTGCGAGCTTATGTGTATGTGAAAAATGGTCGATGTTTTCAGTAAGAGATTGAAGATTTTAATACGATATACATACACATACACACACATAAATATTTAGTTTACATATATAGATGATTTATTATTCCAAGATGAGAATATTATTGACTACCATTAAATCTTCCATTAGGATTATGATTACAAATAGAGGTTAACTTTATAGCGCCATAATTCTTAGGTAATTTTTCCAGGTTTCTCATATGAATCACGTACACTAGCGGTTAGTTTCACGATTGTAAATATGTAATAGAAAACGTCGACATATAGCAAAAACTTGAACATGTCCTAATACGTATTTCACCATGAAAAACAGAACACATCATAAAAAATAAATTAACTTTTTTAAAGGACAACTCAATTTGTTTGTTGTTTCATTTCATAATGAAGGTGATTTCAAATTGATTTGTAACAATCTGACAATTCAGTAGTTTTCGAAATATTCAATTAAAAAAATATCATTACAGAGAATCAGAAACCCATTACAATATAATCACAAAGAAAAACTGGTAAGAGAAGTGTACAAACAGTAATGTTTCTTTTTTAACCTGACCTAAAATTACATTAGGTTTCACGAGATAGTTTCACTTTAAATTGATGTCGTTATGAGAAAAAGCTATTTATTTGTGAATTATTTGGTTAAAATAAAAACTTTGTATGTAACATTGCAAAATAACAGGAAATTGTGGCGATAGATCTTTCATTGCAAATGCCTCATTATATGATTTATTTCATACTTATATAAAAGTTTACAAAATAACAAATTATTAGGTATATATGTAATTCACATTACATTACACAAAACTCTATAGATTTCTTTCTGACAAGAAAATCCCAATCCAATTCTTCCTAAATAAATAGGCTCATGTATTTATATTCAATTAAATTTTGTAACTGCAATAGAACCTCGTAAGACGTTCATTCTCAATATGATTTCTCGCATAATACGCCACTTTACGCTAGTACCTGCGCTTTGGAATATATAGTCTCTATCTCGCATAATACGCTTGCTCGCATCAGTTAATAGTCTTAACAAGATTTTACTGTTATTTAAAAAGAGACAAAGGTAAAAATAAACACGTGAAATACATTCAATAGTAGTTCTGCCAAAATATCACTAATATTATTTTAAATTCACATTTATAATACATATTGATAATTATACATATGTATAAAATTCGAATTGAATAAATAATAGTAAAAAAAATTATGAGTAGATAATATTTATACTATGTTAAAATAAAAAGAACTTAATAACCGCCCATAGAGTAAAATTTAGTAATCGCAAAAAAATCTAAAATGAAAATTCTTATATATCTTTACGTTTCAGAGGTTTCTGAACATTTTAGCATACCTTATTATCAGAAAAAATGGATGCATGTGTGTGTGCAAATACAATTTTTTGTCGAGGAACTAGGATCAACCGATTTGATTGATTCAAAAAGCATTCGATGCCTATTGATAAGGAGACGTGCTGATTAGTTTTTGAGTGGAAGAAAGCAGATCTAGCCGTTTTGAAGATACGGAGCAAAAAGTGCCAAAAATGATAATTCAGTCAAGAAAA